CGACAGAGCCCCCCCCGCCCCCAGCCTCCACGATGATGGCCACAAACTTGGGGTTGACGGCGCAGAAGGAGCTGTCCCACGTCACCTTGGAGACGCGGATGTCCTCATACATCTGGTCAGCCTTCACCGGCTGCCCAAAGACATGCCGGAACTTGCTCTGGCGCACCACGCGGCGGCTCATGGCTGGGGGGAGGCCACGGCCCCTCTCCCAGCCGGGTTTTGGCCCCCTCGGGCCTCACACTCCAAGAGAATCCCCCAACCCTGGGCACAGGAGTCAAGTAGATGGTGGCAGATGAGGGCGCACATGGTGCCCAACGCGGCCCTGATCCCATGGCAGGGAGTGGAGGCAGCCTTGGTGCAGACAGATGTGGGTGCTGCAAGCACTGGGAACAGGCATCCCACCACCAGAGCCAATTAACCTCATCGTTAATCCCAGCTCAGGTTGCAGGGAGGGTGGCAACAGGATGGCAGCAGTGCCTGCATCCCTAGGGTGCATCCACAGCACTCGGGGTGATGGTGGGCACAGGGACAGGGACACAGCTGGGGCACAGCCCCCAGCCCACAGCTGGAGCTGTGTGATGGCTAAGCAGGGACATAGCAGTGCCATGTCCTGCGCCTGTGCCATGTCCTGTGCCTGTGGCTGGCCCTAGGGTTGGCACATGAGCAGCTGAGGGGATTTTTGGGGCGGACATGGAGGTGACATGCACCGGGTCACAGCTTGTCCTCTTGTGTCCCATCCTCCATCAGCATCCTGAGGTGCCCTGGCTTGACCCAGCACCCTGCAGGGAGGCTGTGCCTCCAGCATTGCCCACCCCACGCCTCTCACCATGGGGCCCAGCCCTGGGTCTCCTGTGTGCCACCCACTCTGCCCCCCAGCCCACTTGCCTGGCACTGACCCGGCACAGCCACGCAGCCCCATGGGGACACTGGGGTGCAGAGGAGCCCCTCCATGCCGAGGGTAGCCCCCGTGGGGTCTCCAGCCCTTGGCCATGGCTGGGCACAGCACGGCTACCACTGAGCTCCATCCCGAGCCTCTGCTGCTCCTGGGACCTGCTCGGGTGGCACCGAGCCCCATAGGTCTCCAAAAGCCCTGGAGCTGAGGCTCTGCAGCACCCATGAGCCACTGAACGCCCTGGGGACTCCCCTCTGCTCTTTCGGGGCCTCAGTCATTGCTAATAGCTGTACCCGACCACCAAACCACAGCCAGAGGGGTCAGGCACCACTGCCTCCCAGCTCAAGGGGAAGGAGCAGATCTGCTCCTCTGCATCCCAGCCAGTGGCTTTTGGCCTGGGCACGTGCACCACCAAGCCAAGTCACATCTGTCTGGTCTCTGGTCATCCCCAGGGGTTCCCAAGGCCCTTCAGCATCACCCCTTGCCTGGCAGAGTGGGTGAGGGTCAGAGCCAGGTCCTGAGGGGACCCTGAGCCCTGCTACCAAGGGAGCCTGGACACCAGCATCACTGCTGTCACCCCCACGGCCCCAGACATGGTCCCCAGCCTCGGGGAGGCGTGAGGGGGGCTCTGTGGGGACACGCTAGGGATATTTTGCAGCACCTCATTCATCGCCAGTGGGAGCAGAGTTTGGGGTGCAGGCGTGCAGGGTAGGGGGTGCCAGCTTGGCTGGTGGGGCAGAGGACACGTGGGTGCAGGTATGGTGCAGGCAAGGTATGGGGGGAAGGAAAGGTGCAGATGGGGTGCAGACAGAGTTGAATGGGATGCAGGCAGGGGATAGGGTGCAGGTGGGCTCCTGCAAGCAGAGTTGGGCAGGGTGCAGGCAGCGCTGACCGGGGTGCAGGCAAGGTGCTGGTGGGTTGCAGGCAGGAC